AATCATCTCACCACAGCGTCTCTCTCAGTTATACAACGGTCTCTGACGCAGATACGCACCTACCGCTGCGGGTCAGGACCTGGCTTCGTGGCAGATCGAGAGTGTTGACTGTTGACCACACACGTATAAACACACACAAAGTCACTTAGGTCAGCTTATACATAGGTGGACTGTGGCTAACCTGTGGACCTGGTTAACCGGGATACTCAGAAGTTTCCCCTCCGTGTGTGGAAATAAGTACAACACTCTAAATAAGTCATGCAAAAGAGGTAGGTGAAATAGCCTCTGAAATCCATCAACTTGTAATACCTAAAGAATGTGTCTACGGAGGATAAAAATTATTTAAGAAAGCCAAGATTCAGGTTTCCTTCCATAAAACAGTCGCATACATATGCATGACTCCTGACAAACAACAGCTATCCCAATCACCGGCCTGTCCAGGTTGGGTTGGAAAAGTGTCCGTGTGTACATGTGGGGAGGAACGTAACCATATATCAGACCTGATGTACGAGCCCCAAACAGAAATATGATTTTATCCTGTATGAACTCCACAGCTGTCTGCCATTAAAGATGCATCTGCGCGTGTGTGTGTTTGGAGTTCAGTCATGCAACCATGTTGCTTTAACAGGCTTCCCCATTGGTCTGAAAGTCATCTCTTGAACATGTAGCCAGTACACAGTCCTTTGGAAGACCAGGGAAAAAGTCCCTGACACACACACACACGCGCACACACACACACACACACACACACACACACACACACACACACACACCGACCCTCCACACCTGTCTTGTCACTCAGACCCTGGGTGTGCCCTTCACTAGCCCTCACTGCCCCAACAAGAGGCCTCATTTCCCAAGGAAGATCTCTTCAGCTCCAGGCCGCACGCACGCACGCACGCACGCACGCACGCACGCACGCACGCACGCACACACGCACACACACACAACCCTGGTCCCAGCCCCCTTCAGACTGCACAAAGCCCCCATTGTGAGGCACAATGCTGGCCGCCCCCTCTGCCTTTCCCCTGTACCCTCTGCTCCGTTTCCCCCATAACTCTGTCCCGTCCGCCCGACTCCATCGTTCACTGCTATTCAGTCTTCTTCACCTCCTGTCCTCTCTACGCTCCCTTCTTTATTCTTCAAACCCCACTACCGATCCTGTTGATCGTGTCTGTAGCGGTCTGCCCTCTCTTATCCAAGCGTAGCCCCCCCCCCGTTTCTCCCAGCATGGCCCTCCCTCTTGTCCCTGTGTTCCAAGTCATTTTCCACTTCTCTGACTGTTGTGTTTCCTCCTATATCCCCTTCTTGCTCTGCTGGTTCGGAGATATTTCATATCTAGGCTGTAGTTCATGTGGTCGATTAAAAATCTGAATGCAACTCTCTCTGCAGGGCCGTTTGTGTTTTAATACAATTCTGGTCATTTACAACTATTAAACTCTGTCTCGTCAACAGAAAACAAGCTCAGTGAAATGGCTCCCGACAGTGCAGGACTGCCTTTGTCTCTCCACAAGTAATGGGGATATTATTTAATAAAGTGTAAAATGAATCCCCAAAAAACAACTGCTGTTGAATATGGCACAGCAAGCAAATACCAGAACATTTACTGCACCTACAGGTCTGGTTTAAAGATGTCCTCACCGACAGGACCCGTGAAGAACCTTGACCACCAAAACCAGTATTTTGCCCCAATTTCACCTCACGTATTTCTTTCTTAAGCATGTGTTCGAACTGTAGATGTTTGACCACATGCAGCAAGTCCACCTCAGCTTCATGCTTTACACCAGAAACAGGCAGTAGCTCATGTTAATGTTTGCTCTATCCACACCCTTGTGTGAGAAATGAGTGGCTCTGCCTTCTCTTTATTCCAAACTTCTTTTTTTTTTTTTTTGAACATGTTGTACCTACAGTGCCATCTGTGTTGCTTCAAAATCCTGACCATGGGGTGGAGTCGCAAGACTGGCACTAATCTAACCAAATCCCACTGCAGTATGTGCTTTTCTTATCTCTCTTTGTCAAGCTGCAAAACCAAAGTCTGTTAGTCAAATTTCGTCTTGCCGGTTGGAAAAGCGTGCACACAATGCATGTCTGATGGTACACGGTGCCGGTGGTATGTGCAGAGCTATCTCAGGCATTCGCCTACTGAGCAGCTCTGTTAAGGCCCTGGTTTCTTGAGTAAGCTCAGATACAGTAACACTACTGTACAGTGCCACCTGGGTGTAAGTCGGCCTAATCCGTCTTCCTGGGAAACAGCCACATGAGCCAGAATCAGACAACTGACTGATGAAATGAATGAAAACTGCTAAAACACACAAATGCACAGACACAGAGAATCTGGAAATCTGGTGTGGCTAGTTGAGGGGTGAAATAAGAGAAAATGGGGACACACTGTTTGTCAGTTAAACAGAAGCCTTTCCATGGCAACCCTGGCTGCATCCTGACACGAAGGAGTGATGAGAAGGTGGACATTCCACACACTTGTCCTCCTGTGTTTCCTGATCAAAAGGAGGCAAAAGAAGGAACAAAGCAAACAGAGTCACAGCAAAGCTTCCAGCAGGCCTGCGGTTTTGTATTTTTCATGTTAAGTGAAAGGCGACCAAAATGCCTTCAAGGAGGTGGGGGAATTTTCCCTCTTCAGTGTTTTCCAAGCCAGAACATTCTGGTTGAAAGAAAGAAAGAAAGAAAGAAAAAAAGAGAGAAAGGAGAAGACGGAGCAAACTAGCGAGCAAAGCAAAGAGAAGGGTGGAAATGAGAGAGGCCAGCTGCTCTAGTCACCGAGAGAAGAAAGGAAGCAATTATCAAACGGTAGGAGATCCGTAATAGCTTACAATCGCTGTGGAGAGTTAAACGATGCAGCTTTTCTCACCCTGAACAGGACATTAGCCACACTAAACAGACTGAAGGACGTTCAGTCGACAACACGCACTGAAGTCTCTCACTGCTGCCGCCTCAAACACTGTCACTCACCAAGCGACACCTCTATTTGAGGTCCCAGGGGGGAGGTTATTTTGGTCGCACACACAGATTAGACACACACACACACACACAGGTATCGGTGGTGACGCACCCCTGCTCGGGGGTTAGGGGTGCTCGGACGACTGCGACGGTGACTCAGCTCATAGGATTTAGCGCTGCGTGGTGTGGGAAACTGGGACAGTGATGACCGCATTCCACAGGCTGCTTGGCCCCCGGCCCCTTGTGAGGGGACAGCAGTCAGAGAATGAACACTGGCGACAGGGGGGGGGGAAGAAAGGGGGTCGGGGAGAAGAATGGTGGCACAAGAGAGGTGTCCCATATCCAGGCCAACATCTCGCATGTGACAATAGCGTGAAAGGAGTGCTATATGTGACACGTGGTCCCGCTCCGGCCCTGCTCACCCCGGGGCTCCAGTCGAAGTCTCAGACCGGAGTCCAGAAAACAGCCTGAGGGCGAGTAATGACAGGGAGCCTCCAGCACACCGGTCAGACACACAAACTCTGGAGTTTTACAGCTGCGGAGGTCGACCAGACACTCAGTAACAATGTCACATCAAGCCACGGGTAACATCGGCAAAACAGGCTATTTAAAGAATCAAATCCCTGAGAAACAAAAGGGAGAAGCTGAAGCTGTTGTTTTCAAGGTTTGACAGTGATGGCACACAGCAGTGAGGTTAAAGCTGTCCAAACACTGACAGACTGTGATAAAGATTGTGCTTATTACAGCGGTTCTTCTACATCAGACACTCAAACACAATTAGTCAGACCCAAAGTGGGTCACCATCCTGTTTGTTGCGAGTCTTTACTTTGTCAACACGTTCAACTCTTAACAATGTACACACAGCGAGGTGCAGACTAGAGCACGCTTCAATACACGTTACACAACTCTTATATATATATATATATATATACTGGCTATCTTGCCTTCATCAGGGTGGATGGCTTGACTTGTGCTTCTATTATAAACTGTAAACAGACTAAAACTTTGAGTATGAAACAACTGCAGTTTGTGGCATGGACCAGGTTTGCAATGTGTGCACAGGATGAAGAAGACAAGTCTCTCTATATATGTACTGTGCAGCAGGTCCAGTTAATGACAAACAATGCTGACAATGGTTGAACCTGTCGTCTCTCTTCGCCTGCTCATCTGTCTCTCTCTCTGGGTGTGCTTCTCTCTCTTCCCTTTGTACCAGGGCATCAGCTCCCACAGAAAAACCTCTCACCACCCACGCTATCAGGAGCTTTTTAGATCTCACCCTCGCCACCTGCAGCACATTACTCATATCTGAAGCAGAGAGAGATCCTGTCGTCCATCTCAGCGGGCAGCATATGATGATACACTGTGCTTAGACCACCGCTACAGGAGTACACCAGCATTATAATGTCTCTTCGTGAGCAAACACTAACACGGGATGTAGAGCTGCACAAATCTACTGCTCTTAAAAAAAACACGTTGCTCGCTGTGAATTGAACTTGTATCTGAACGTGAACAGAGCCAGAGAGTTACATAAGAATAACCGGTGACACAGCTGGAAACCCCTGTCAGACAAGCGAGTCTTCTACATGACCCCCTTCGATGAACGCGGACCTCTCAGACGTAATCGATGATGTCACATCCTCTCTGACCTTGTGACCTTTCACACACTGTCTTCACACACTAATCTCCTGGGCTATGCAGCCGAACCCCATGCTGCCTGCAAGTGAGCTAAACTCCCGGCTCAACGAACACACACTTGCGTAAAAAAAACAACTCGCCTCAGTCTCCAGCTTAACTGCACCCTGACGGCACCAGTCGAAGTATGTTTGTGTCTCTCTGGAGATGACGACAACTGAAAGGTTACTTAATAATTCTAATATTTCATGAGGTGGCAGTGTGAAACGCTATAATTCACAACATGGACGATCATCGTGACACAAGATTTTCATAATCCTGTCAATTAAGACCAATAATTTGTAGTGTGGAGCTTTACAGAAGCAAGATAAAAAAAAAAGGGTCAATCGGAGGAAAACAACTGTCCATCATACCTTGAAGCATGCAGCGGTACGCCGCCTCAGAGATGGCATAGATGTGTGGCGGCATCTCGTGCCTCTTCTTCCCTCTGTACATCTCAATGATGTTCTCTGAATAGATGGGCAGGTTCTTGTAGGGGTTGATAACCACACAGAATAGGCCCGAGTATGTCTGCAATCAAACATACAAAACAGATTAATACACAGTCAGGAGCAAAAGAGAGGCTTGCAGCTCAACATTTGAATATCTATATATTCCAGAAATATAAAAACACACAACTATATGCCGTGGCTATTCAAATCCTGCTTGAAACAGGCTAAATGAACCAGAACCTGAAGTGGATATCAAGAGAAAACACTAAAAAGGGAGCATGCAAGTTTCTGTCTGTTTAAATCATCAAGTCTGCATACCATCAGTGAAGCAAGGCCCATTTTTAGGAGCTTACATCATCATAGTGGTCATGCAGATAGATATAGACCAGACTGATTAGAGAGTCAGACTATAAGTGAAACACTGAACAGACTCTCGTCTCCTGTGCAGCAACAATAAGAGTCCTAATAAGAGTGTTCAAATCAAACACGGCACGACACAATGTGAACAAAGAGTGTATGAATATTATGAAGACTCGTGCATTTGTGTAATTAGGATATTTCTCCCCAGAGAGTGTGTGTGTGTGTGTGGTATGGTAACGCTTCTCGACTACGCTGCAGGCGGACTCGACCGGGCAGCAAGGCGGCCAGGAAAGAGCGAGAGGCCCTGGCGGGGCGGCGGTTCTCTCTCATTCTGCAGATGCTGTCGGGGCTTTGCATTCCCTCTACAGACAACACAGAGAAAGAGCTGCTTACTTTAATCATCGGCATGTTAGGCTAATCCTAGAGGCCTGTGCAAAGGCCCATCTTGTACGTACTAAATAGCTACTCGGTGCTTTGCTTATTAAGAGAAAACCTTAAAGGTGCTGAATTCAAAATGAGCAGTAATAGAGCAGCAAACATCTATTCGCTGTGAGAAGATATCGTGGAGGCAGCTGTGGCGGAGGTCAGAGTGACAGACATGTTTGTTTGTTCCGTCTTCTTCTGGGGCCGTGCGTGCGCTCTACAGTGACATGATTTTATGAGGAACACTTGCACTTCAAAGCTAAACTGTTTAAGAAAAGGAAAATTAGAAGCATTGTCCGTAAACTGTTTAGCGATGAGGTAAAAAGTCGACTGCCAGCATGGCTCTTGGAGATCACGGAAGGCACATGTTCTCTACGGGCTGCAGTCTGTGATGAACCACCGAGCCTCTGTTTTAAGGAGCTTTGAGCTTCAAGAGCTGTCTATTCTGCTATCCTCTCCTTGTTACTCCCGCTGCCAAAGAATGGCATCATACCATAAAGTCAAAAACAGATGGAATATTTAGATGTCCTGCGGTGATCTGTTCTTATCAAAGACTGTGACATCTGCTTCGTGATTAAAACTACATCCAAGGCCGAGCGGGGGCGCCCTGCCACGAGTGACTCGGCAGCCATAGATTCACACAGCGGGCCCAGAGAGCAGACGGCGTATTGTAACCGCTGATACAGACGGGGGAAAAAAAACAAGAACGCAGACTGAAATGGAGAGTGGAGCAATGATTCGGCTGACAGAGCTCCCTCAGGTGCCAATCCGGCAGAGAGGCAGCGGTGCAACAAACAGTGAACCACCTTCTCAGCCCTCCTGTAAATTGCTCCCAACCTGAGGGGTGCGGAGAGAGAGAGAGACAGAGACACAGAGAGAGAGAGAGAGAGAGAGAGCTGAAATTCTAACTCTCCACTCTCTTTTTTCGAGTCCAATGAAACATTTATTTCCCCCCTTATCTGGAAACTGGAGCTGTGTGTGTTCTGTTCTCAGCTGGGGAGGCTGTAGAGAGCGATAGCTGGACCCCAGGTCCAATGTAGACCGTCTCAGGCGGGCTAAAGGATTGAAGGGGTCATTGTAGTTTGCTGCATCACGTCTATATGTGTATGATGATGATGATGATGCACGAACCGGCACAGAGGCGCTTAGTAGCCTCCAGAGTTGAAGTGGAGCATCAGGGTTTTAATTATTTTCATTGCCAGAGAATTATAATCTCATCTCTAAAAATAACAACAGCGGTTGAATTTGACTTTTACCTTAAGCTAGAGGTCCCTTATTATTCCACCAATCAAATAAAAACAGCCTCAAAATAGAATAATTCAATACTTTCCACATGCTTGTTGTCGGGCTGCTGGCGCTTCCCTTGCAGGAGTTATTGTTAAATCTCCTACAGGATCAATGCAGCATAAATAACATTTACTACCGCTGTTGCCAGCTAGCAGAGCATACGGCTAACTCCACGTACGCCGCCTGCCAAACCGACGGGCCTGGCCCGGTCCAGGAAAGAGAAGGTGATATTTCCACTGTGAAATCAGATCCAGGGGAGGGGATGCCGTGGCCTAGTAACAGCTGAGCATCACACGGGCAACAGCAGACACAACAGCCGACTCCATCTGCCATCGCTGATCAGTCAGGCAGCGTGCCTATACGTGGAGGCTGGAGACGGGCTCTCTGGGCGCCGTTGATCTGTGTGAGGAGACCTTGACCCCGGTTCACTCTGGTGATTTCATAACGGAGCTTGCGAATACTTCCGCCAGGGCTTTGAAATACGATCAATACCCCGAAATGCGTGGTATTAAATCACATTGACAGCAGCGGGACACCTGCTGTTCTCCCAGCTTTAACAAGTTGGAAATTCTTGCTCGCTGAATTTTAGAGCGGTTGGGGGCCGTCAAAATGTGTACTGCAGTGCAGTTCATTCAAATGCAGTGTGAATCAGAAGGAGTTTAGATTCGAGTCTTACATGCTTGTGTTTGGCAAACAGAATGTCAAAGGTTACATCGGGGTCCTGGAAACGTCCAGCAGAAGGAGACACCACATGTGGCTTTAATTCAAACATGTAAAAACTCTCTCCGCAGGGTTCTGAGAATGATTGTTGTTTGCCACAAAGTCCATGTCATTATTGTCCAGGACCAGTGAGGCAGGGAAGAGGAGAGAAGCACAGCGAGTGAGGGAACAGGAGAGGAGAGGTGGTGAGGACATGACGGACGCCGAGCAGCAGCAGAGCTGATGTGGGCGGGCCGGCAGGAGACAGACAGACGGACGGACAATCTTTCTGTTACATGCTGAGGCTTTCGAGCAGCTGAGGCTTATCCAACGACACAAAGGCCCGCTTGTGGCCCCCGCTGGCGTGGCGTAGCCTGGCGTTGTAGCATTGCTGGTTATTAGCCCTGTGATTCACCACCTCACAGAAAGCTGAAGCTGCTACGATTAAATGGGGCTCAACGGGCTGACTTAACAGATGCGGATCACGTTGTGATTCAGACATGAAGTCTTCCCAACCACCTTCAACTAAGAACACAGCCTGGGGAGCCATTATATTATGTCTGCAGTAGATGTAGCTGAGCTCTGTAAGTCAAATTCACTGGAAAACGTTTAGAGCATGGGGGGGGTTCTTCTTGTAAGAGCCAGCTGAATAGGGAGATTCTCTTCCTGATAGAAAACTAACACCGTCGGACACATATTTTCAATTTCTCTTAGCCAAGGGGTGAATCAAGAAGCTCCAAAGCCAGTTCTGAACCACCAAAAGAGAAGAAACGGTGACACTATGGTATTAGAGAGAAGATGAAGAGGAGGGAACTGGGATGGACTTCATCTGAGAGACAGCGGTGAGGTTATTTTATGTCTCGTGAAGAAGATAAATTATAAGTTCTACAATTCCCTCTGCAGGCCCCGTCTCAGGTATGAACCAACCCACATTCTATTCGTGGAAAACATGTCACTAACTGGGTCAGGATCACAACTAGAACATCACAGAGCAGCTCCATCTGTAGTGAAATTGGATTCTGGTGCCGGTGGCAACGCTGCGATACGGAACGCTGCAAAAAGTTGACTGTGATAAATGCAGATGTGTAATTAAAAAATGAGACACTGAACCGTGTTTGTGTTGGATTACATTTTGGACCACAGATGCCAGAGCTTTACCGAACTACTCCACAAGCTGAATACATTTAAAAACGTTGGTCTTGTACTGACATGTGTATGGGGGGGGGGACTGTGCTTTTAAAACACTGATTTACCGTATGGTTGTCTTGTGATCTGGGTTGTAGCAACTGGCTCAGTCAACTGATGGTCAACTTGTAGACAGTGACAACGCTTCAGCACGTAAACAGCATTTTCATATGTATCTGAATTAGTGTGTATCGAAAATTTCAAGGCTTAAAGATGCTGCATTTGGGGCAAAACAGTGTTTAGTTTTCAACAGTCGGACTGTCACGAAAAAGAGAGAGAGAGAGAGAGCGAGAGAGAGAGAGAGAGAGAGAGAGAGAGAGAGAGAGAGAGAGATCAAGATCGAGACATCTCTGGGATCACACACGGTCCACCGGTCGGGCACAGAGCAGGACAAACAAACAGAGAGCAGTAGTGTTTATGGAAGAGGCCTGCCTCTGGCTTAGGTGAGGGAGAAGCTGTGGGGGGGGGGGGGGGGGGGGG